CATGTGTTTGCACAATTATTGGGACGTTTGTTATATTATATATATATACACATATATACACACACACACACAGTTTATGGCATTTTATATGTGCTATTTTTAGCACAATTGTCATTTGAGCACATTGAATTTACATATTGGTTTATGATTCAGTCATTGGGAAGGAGGGATGTAATTGTTAGCCCCCAGGGCATTGTAGTATATGCACATTTGTAGGGATCCTTTATGTAGTAGGGAGTTCATTTATTTGTTTATTTGAAGTATTTTTTGGTAGAGGCAGCGCAGCAATTTTCATGTTTGCACTCATTATTTGCCCCTGGGGCCAGCTGTATGTCCAGGACCATTGTCTTATTGTACAGATACGGCCTAATGTTAGAGTCTCATTGCAAACAGCTTTTTCAGACTTGTTGGTCCATCAGTGTAGTGCATAAAAAAGCATGGAGTATGACTTGGGGAACCAGGAGAAACTACAAAACGGGTAGTGCCCACCTTCCCTTTTGTTTGCAGCATGCTGTCAGCTACAAAGCGACAGCTGCACATTCTGGCCGCACCAGCAGGAAGGGAACGGCTTCCCTTTCTAAACCACTGCAGTTGTGCTTTTATCTGTGCTGAGAATTGCATTACCGCCTTATCCATTTGATCTGGTTTACTGAAATCATAAAAAAGCAGAAGTCAAATGTGTTGCTATAAATAAATCTGGCCTCTGACGTTCAAATATTTTATTAGCATCAAGCAGATATAAGAATTTGTTTCCATCTTGTAATCATACGATGCTCCTCTCGGCTCAGTTGGTTGAAGGTCTGTGGGAAAAGGACAGGAAAAAAAAAACAATGAAAGAAATAATTATGGTTATGGGTCAATTTTAGTTTTAATAAAATTGTGCGTTTTCTTTTCTTTTGGCTCTTTATCTGTAAAAAATGTTTTACATATACACATTCAATACAAGGTGCATTCATGTAAAGCATGCTGAGGGCTTTAATAAGAAAGTCCAGCACAAAAAAAAAAGGCTCTATTAAAGCTACAAAGCTGGCAGGCTAACCTGTTTCAGGCACAGACTAAAGGGGATGGGTTGAAAGTGCATCTAAATATTAAAATGTATTATACTGGAGCCTACCACGGTAGCATCGGCATTAGTTTTCTTTTATCAAGCTTTTTCGGCCCTGTAATTTCACCTGGTAATCCTGACAGTAACACACTTCCTGTCCTAGGGTGACAATGCTGACCCACAGTACTGTACCTATGATGGATTGTCACCTCAGCACAGGAGGTGTCACTACAACAGAATAACCTCCCATCTTCATTTCTCTAGTATATAGTAAATGGTTGGGAAAGCCAATAAAATTGTTAGCGATTTCATTTTGGCACACATGAAGATCCTACTAGTAACACTTCGGTCCTAAGGTGACACATCTAAGGACTGGTAAGATGGAACTAACTATATGTTCTTGGGTTTAAATATAATTGAAAGTACTAACTGCAAAAACAAACATTATATTACAGCTTACCAATTCTTAGATGTGTTCACTTTGATCTAGTTTTAGTCATAGTTTTTGACTAAAATGGCGTTTTAGTCATCTGAAATTTTTGTTAGTTTTAGTCGTATTTTAGGCGACTAAAATAGTTCTAATTTAGTTGACGAAAATATTTTAGTCAATGAAATTAAAGTGGTGCTAAAGGCTCAAGGTTTTTTAACTTCATGCATTCTATGAAGGTAAAAAAAACAAACCTTTTGTGTACATTGCCCCCCGCCATTCTTACCTGAGCCCCCTCTGATCCAGCGATGTTCACGATAGCTTGTGTTGTAAGGGGAGCCCCCCCCCTCTTCATTGGATCTTGCTGCAGTCAATCACAGCCAGTGAGCCAATGAGGATAGAGCAGGGGACCGAACTGTGGCTGTGTCTCTTAAGGACACAGAGCAGCGGCTTGGTAACAAGCATGCAGCCGTGCCCCCCAGGGCAAGCAGCTTTCTCTGGGAACACTGCTTGAGGGGGAAGAGCCAGGAGCGTCAGTGGGGGACCCGAAAAGAAGAGGATCAGGGCAGCTGTGTGCAAAACTACTGCATGGAGCAGGTAAGTATGACATGTTTGTTATTTTAGTTTAAAAAACAAAGCTTTAGTACCACTTGAACACTGGTGGTGACTGCATTCATTTTGTTTTGTTTTTTTGGTTTTCTTCAATTTTTATCTGGTGATCCAGCCAGCAAATCTGCTTTTCAAAAGCACAAGCTCCCCAGTAGAATATATCAGTTCACATGCATGAGAAAAACCACGCAACACTGCCAGGGGTGCTTACAATGATCGGCTTTTATTTTTTCACATAACACTTTTATCCCAAAAGGAAAAAAAAATGCTGTAACTGCTTATAAAGTGTGAGCTGCAGTTTGGATTTAATTTGTTAGTGTATTTAAATATGCTAGTACATCTAACACTACAATCCCTCATAGACGGACAATGCTGCTGCCTGCTGTGCTTCCTGTGCTCCTTCATCCAGAGTGATGTCTCACTAATACAGTAGGTATATTACTGGCCAGATCACCAGGGAAAAAAAAGCCTAAGAAAAGAAAACTAATGCAGGCACCACAACTAATGATTGTTAAGCTGCACAATATAACATTTTTGGTTTTGGGTTTAATAATGCTTTAAGTAGGCTTTGGGAAAAGTATAATGAACCCATCTCTGTGTGGGGTCTCATGTATATAGCATCTTTAGTTTTAAAGTGTAAACGCCTTCCACACTAAGAACCCCTGAAAAGGCTGGCAGGAGTGGGGGTAAGGGGTTGGCATTGCAATCCGGAAGAATGTGACTATCACTAGCCAAAAGGAGGACCTCAACAAGTGATGCTCGCGGTCCAATGAAAGGGCCGGAGAATAGGTGACACAGGAAGTGGCAGGCTCAGAAAAAGTGTCACCTGTGACTAGTGTGGTGGGGATGTGTGAATCGCAAGAAAAAAAGTGTTATAAGACACTAACACACAGAAGCACATTTTGTTTTAATGAAAAGCATTAAAAGCCCAAAATGCACTCACAAGGAACAGAAGAGGGACAAGAACATAAAGCCAACAGGACATTTAGAACAAACTCCTGCTCATGGCTAGTGGTCAGATTTGTGGTTCCCCCCATCCCCCCCAAAGAGCAATGCTTGTTTCAGAGAATCCTCCCAAATACTTTATATGTGTTTGTTTCTCATCTGTTCCATGTAAGTGCATTTAATGTTTGCCACGCTTTCTAATAAAAAGAGGAAAATGGACATTATCCGCATTGTTGGAGGAAATCGCAGCACCCAGGGACAACATGCAAAGACATACTGGTAGGTTAATTGGCTCCTATCTAAATTGGTCCTAGTATGTGTACATGTGAGATATGAACCTTCCATTGTAAATGGCCTTACAGCAGGGATCATGTAAAGTGCTGTGTAAATTGTTGGTGCTATATCTGTCATAAATAGTTGAATGAAAAGTTCTTCACTATATTGGTACGCCCTGTGCCATGTTGTTTGTACAGCTGACTACACTCACTTTCACTCAGAAGTTTGTCATCCTATTAATTGCTCCATACCAGTGATATTTGGGACATTAAAAGTCTTTAACCGGCACTCAGGTGTCCCCAATCAGCTGCTAGACTGTACAATAACACCCCCTGGAGAATTTCAGTATGTACATTTAAAAAGTCCAGCGCCTAAATATATGCAGCTGGTTCTTCAATCAGCAGGTAAGTAAATCCAATGGATTCAATCTCAAAGATTCTTACCAGATTTCCCGACCCACACACCAATCAGTGGGTCTAAAAAAAAAAAGACTTTTTGTTTTCTTTACCCCAACGTCTGTGTCTTCCTTAACCCCTTCCTGCCCAGTGTTATTAGTACAGTGTCAGTGCTTATTAGCACTGATCACTGTATTGGTGTCACTGTGAATGTCAGTGACACCAAGTCAGTTCCCCCCCCAGTGTCAGAATGCCCGCTGCAATCCCGCTATAAGTCACTGATCGCTGCCATTACTGATAAAAAAAAAAACAAAAAACCCCAGTATATATACACACCGCCATTTATAAACACTATAACTTTTACGTAAACCAATTTACACGTACTGGAATTTTTTTCTAGCAAAGAAGTTGTGTAGCAGAACACATTTTGGCCTACATTTATGATGAAATTTGATTTGTTACATTTTTTACTGGACATGTTTAATAGCAAAAAAGTCTAAAATATAGTTCTCAAAATTGTCTTTATAGCGCAAAGAAAAAAAACAAACAAAATCGCACAGATCAAATACCACCGAAAGAAAGCTCTATATGTGGGGAAAAAAGGATGTAAATTACATTTGGGTGCAGCGTTGCATGACCGTGCAATTGTTTAAGTATTGTAGCGCTGTAATGCAACAAATGACCTGGTCAGGAAGGGGGGGTAAATCCTCTGGAGGGCAAGTGGTTAAACCTCTTCACAATCTCTCCAGTGAATCCCCAAAACATAAAAAGCTCATATAGTGCAGAATCTTCCAAACTAATATCCTTTCCACTCATGTGCGCACGCATAATGGTATGCAAGGAAAGTGTATTACCGTTTCAATCCGACCCTGCATCTGTCCCCTGCCAGCTCTGCGCTGAGAACTGAGCAATCAAACACTGCTGATCACTCAGTTCTCCCCTCCACTTTGAGCAGAGAGCCTGTGACTGTCAGTCACCGTCCCTCTACTCTGCACCTCCAGCGCTCATTGGAGCCACAGGTGCAGCTGAGAGGCTTAAGACATTTTGTCGGGATCTTTCCTTGACCGGCTCTGTGACATCAGCCAATTGTAGCCTGCCGTTGCCTGAAAATGGGTCACAGGAGTACAGAACTAAGTGCACTCCTGTGACCCATAGTAGAGGTAGGGCCAAAAAAAAAAACTGCCCATGTAAGAGACCTGAAAATGCTGACTGGCTGTCTTGCTGATTTAATTCCATTTGTGAATCGCAATAAAGTGAAGAGGAGAAAAAGTGAAGAAACACAACAACAAATAAGAACATACTTGGCCCATTCCACGTTCAGAATAAGGTGATCATAACCAAAGCCAGAAACGCCAGCGATGGCCCGAGCAGCATCTTCTCTGCGGTGAAAGCTGATAAAGGCAAATCCCTGGGGAGAGAAGAGAATGATACCAGTGCATGAGAAGGGAGCTCTATTCCATGACTATGACATTTACGTGTCCCATTACAAATACCCACACTGCAAGAGCGCACAGCTTATTGGTTGCAATGGGCAACAGCAAACCTTATCCTCTGGAGAACATGTATGCTAAAAGCAGGCTAAAGATATTAAATTGTAGTTGGATGTGCAGAAGTTGTACCGGCCTTAAATTTTAAAGAGACTTGCCACACTCCAGTGACATCAGCTTTCACCAAAATGTATTGTTCCAGGACAGTATCAAAAGAAGTCCACCTGAGAAACTTCAGCTTGGTCTTGGCAGGCTTCTTGTAATTGTCTTGGAAGAATAACCCTAGGTTCACATCTGTGCGGGTGGTGCCGCTGCGGATCCGCACGAAAATCCGTTCAGCCACACCACCTGCACAGAGGAATGCGGACCCGCAGGCGGGTGCCATTAGTTCTAATGGCATGCCACCCGCACTGGAAACCGCAACCGTACTGGGAACTGTGGTTCCCGTGTGGGCTGCGTTTTCAAATGAAGTGCAGGGACTTCTTCCCCGCATGTCATGGGCACGGGAGTCCATTCAAATGAATGGGCTCTCGTGCCCGTGCAAAACGCGACCCGCACGGCCGCATATATGTGAACCGGGGGTTAAGTTTGCTGATGTCATAGGAATGTGGACAGTTTCTTTATTCCGTATGAGAAACGCCAGGAAGCTCCATTAGCCTGCACCAGTACACTGCCGGTTTATCAGCAGTGGCTTCCTCTGGTATAGTGGCCAGGTGAAATGACACGAGAGGCAGCTGATGACTATGGTATAAACCAGGGGTGGGCAAACGTTTTGACTTGAGGGCCGCAATGGGTTCATATATTGGACCCGGGGGCTGGACCAAGAGTAGATGAATGATGTGTATGTGTCATCCATAGTAAGTATAGTAATATTCCCCCATGGTAAGTATAGTAATATTCCCCCAAGTAAGCATAGTAATTAATCCCCCATAGTAATTAATCCCCCATATAGTAATTCATCCTCCATAGTAATTCATCCCCCATATAGTAATTCATCCCCCATATAGTAATTCATCCCCCATATAGTAAATGGTATGGGATCCTCCTGCGCTCATGGGAAGTAACTAACAGGATACAGCTGCTGTCACTTAACTAATACCAATAAGTGCAAGAAATAAACATAAAATTAGTGAAGCGCTTGTATCACATGAATACAATCATGTATCTCCATAAAGTATAATTTTAAATCAAAGTGACCACTATATATAATAAATGTGTGTTGACTCCCTCTAGTGGAAAGAAAAATAGTGTCAACCAAAATAACTAAATATCACACATTATAAAACTAAATATATAGTGCATTTATCAGATATACTGAACAAAGTATATATACGTGAAAACAGAATAATTGGCCACATACAATGGTGTCTAAATCAAACATAAATAATATATGCCATAAGTGAAAAAGACAATATCAACAGTGAGAAAATATTCCATGCATGTGACTGTGCTTTAAGCTGGAACACACACGTGATCTCCACTTCTAAGTGCAAGTACTCTCCTTCAAATGGCAGCAATGCCTGCTCACCTCCCTTCCTTGACCCACACAGGGCCTCAAAGCAGTTACCACCTCAGTGGTGTATTCCTCTGGCAGACTCCTTAATCCTCCTCCTCTCTTATGTAACTCAGAAAAAGACAAGAAAGCCTTCCATAGTGTAGTAAATTTAATAGGCAAAGTTAGAAATAACAAAGTTTCCACTCACATGCTCCTTTCCATAAAATAGCGTTTTTCCCAGCCTGTGGGTAGATATGCATGCACCTGGGGGAATCCAATATGGCCACTGCGTCCGGACATGCGTCACCAGGAAGTAGACAAACCGTCTACTTCCTGGTGACGCATGTCCGGACGCAGTGGCCATATTGGATTCCCCCAGGTGCATGCATATCTACCCACAGGCTGGGAAAAACGCTATTTTATGGAAAGGAGCATGTGAGTGGAAACTTTGTTATTTCTAACTTTGCCTATTAAATTTACTACACTATGGAAGGCTTTCTTGTCTTTTTCTGAGTTACATAAGAGAGGAGGAGGATTAAGGAGTCTGCCAGAGGAATACACCACTGAGGTGGTAACTGCTTTGAGGCCCTGTGTGGGTCAAGGAAGGGAGGTGAGCAGGCATTGCTGCCATTTGAAGGAGAGTATTTGCACTTAGAAGTGGAGATCACGTGTGTGTTCCAGCTTAAAGCACAGTCACATGCATGGAATATTTTCTCACTGTTGATATTGTCTTTTTCACTTATGGCATATATTATTTATGTTTGATTTAGACACCATTGTATGTGGCCAATTATTCTGTTTTCACGTATATATACTTTGTTCAGTATATCTGATTCATGCACTATATATTTAGTTTTATAATGTGTGATATTTAGTTATTTTGGTTGACACTATTTTTCTTTCCACTAGAGGGAGTCAACACACATTTATTATATATAGTGGTCACTTTGATTTAAAATTATACTTTATGGAGATACATGATTGTATTCATGTGATACAAGCGCTTCACTAATTTTATGTTTATCCCCCATATAGTAATTCATCCCCCATAGTAATTCATCCCCCCTATAGTAATTCATCCCCCCTATAGTAATTCATCCCCCCTATAGTAATTCATCTCCCATAGTATTTCATCCCCCATATAGTAATTCATCCCCCATATAGTAATTCATCCCCCATATAGTAATTCATCCCCCCTATAGTAATTCATCCCCCATAGTAATTCATCCCCCCTATAGTAATTCATCCCCCATATAGTAATTCATCCCCCATAGTATTTCATCCCCCATATAGTAATTCATCCCCCATATAGTAATTCATCCCCCATATAGTAATTCATCCCCCATATAGTAATTCATCCTCCATAGTAATTCATCCCCCCTATAGTAATTCATCCCCCATATAGTAATTCATCCCCCATATAGTAATTCATCCCCCCTAGTAATTCATCCCCCATATAGTAATTCATCCCCCATAGTAATTCATCCCCCATATAGTAATTCATCCCCCGTAGTAATTCATCCCCCATATAGTAATTCATCCCCCCTATAGTAATTAATCCCCCATAGTAATTCATCCCCCATATAGTAATTCATCCCCCCTATAGTAATTCATTCCCCATAGTAATTCATTCCCCATATTAAGCCCCCAAGTCCCCCCCTGTGTCAATTCACTTACCTTTGTTCCGCGCGTTCCTCTCGCCGTGTTCCCGCGCCGTTCCGGTGTAGCATGAAAATCTGTCTCCTATGAGGATCTGTCCCCCTCGACGTATCTGCGCATGTGCCAGTTTCAGGCATTAGCAGCCGATCGGCGATCTCCGGCACATGCGCAGATACGTCGAGGGGGACAGATCCTCATAGGAGACAGATTTTCATGCTACACCGGTCTTCAGGGCGGACTGTGAGAGGAGCCTAGTGGGAGCCTAGCTCCGCGGGCCGGATTAAAAGGTCCGCTGGGCCGTATACGGCCCGCGGGCTGTAGTTTGCCCATTGCTGGTATAAACCATACGGGATTGGTTACCTTGGATTGCCCTGTGGTCTTGTCTTTAGCCAGGTAGATTCGAGAGATGGATCCAAATGGTCTAAAGAGCTCCTGCAGGTCAGTTTCCCGCGTATCTTCAGATAAATTGGTGACACGGATGGTAGCATTGTCATCAGCTGTGGGAAAGATTTAAAAGATTAAGAAGATCAGAGACTTAGATCAGAAGCATCAAAACTGTTCACACAAAACATTTTGTTAAAATATGGTATATAGGATCACCGAAACTCCAAGAGTCATTCACATGTTAAAGAAATTAAAAAAAAAAAGCCATGTTTGACCACGCCTTTTCAGCACAGAACAGATAAGGGGAGGGTGGCTACAGACACAATTCCAAGGATCTTAGAGTGTTACTAAACCCACAACTGTACAATCAGTCTGTATATGCAGTAAAACATATACTCACTGTGGAACCTAAGGGGTTAATCCTCTGCATTGTGTAAAAAGGCCATTTGATCCTGTCTTCTCTGTCCCTCCCTTCTGTCAAGCGACTATGTCTTATCTCCTGATAAGACAGACTGAACTGTAGGCATTTTGCACATGCTCAGTTTGGTGTGTATTGCTAGAGAGGTTTTTTTTTTTTTTCTTGTGATCAGCACAGGGCCAATCAGTGCTATCCAGACAGAGATCAGGGGTTCTGCATCCTCCTAGAGCAGAAAGAAAATTCCTCCTGCAAGCTTTAGCTAGTGCTGGGCTGGACACTGATAGAAGTCACAAGACAGCTATATAGTGCTGATGAGAAAAGGTATTTAGCAATTTATATTTACTAAAATAATTGCATTATCATGTTGTGTGTTCTGTGAGAGACCAGATATAGTGAATGCAGGGTCCGGGGAGACCAGATATAGTGAATGCAGGGTCCGGGGAGACCAGATATAGTGACTGCAGGGTCCGGGGAGACCAGATATAGTGACTGCAGGGTCCTGGGAGACCAGATATAGTGAATGCAGGGTCCGGGGAGACCAGATATAGTGACTGCAGGGTCCGGGGAGACCAGATATAGTGACTGCAGGGTCCGGGGAGACCAGATATAGTGACTGCAGGGTCCGGGGAGACCAGATATAGTGACTGCAGGGTCCGGGGAGACCAGATATAGTGAATGCAGGGTCCGGGGAGACCAGATATAGTGAATGCAGGGTCCGGGGAGACCAGATATAGTGAATGTAGGGTCCGGGGAGACCAGATATAGTGAATGTAGGGTCCGGGGAGACCAGATATAGTGACTGCAGGGTCCGAGGAGACCAGATATAGTGACTGCAGGGTCCGGGGAGACCAGATATAGTGACTGCAGGGTCCGGGGAGACCAGATATAGTGAATGCAGGGTCCGGGGACAGGGGATATAGTGAATGAAGGCTCCTTGGATAACGGATATAGGGAATGCAGGGTCCTTGGAGAACAGATATAGGGAATGCAGGGTCCGGGGAGACTAGATATAGTGAATGCAGGGTCCAGGGAGACCAGATATAGTGAATGCAGGGTCCGGGGAGACCAGATATAGTGAATGCAGGGTCTGGGGAGACTGGATATAGTGAATGCAGGGTCTGGGGAGACTGGATATAGTGAATGCAGGGTCTGGGGAGACTGGATATAGTGAATGCAGGGTCTGGGGATACCAGATATAGCAAATGCAGGGTCCAGGGAGAGCAGATATAGTGAATGCAGGGTCCAGGGAGACCAGATATAGTGAATGCAGGGTCTGGGGAGACTGGATATAGTGAATGCAGGGTCTGGGGAGACTGGATATAGTGAATGCAGGGTCTGGGGATACCAGATATAGCGAATGCAGGGTCCAGGGAGAGCAGATATAGTGAATGCAGGGTCCTGGGAGACCAGATATAGTGAATGCAGGGTCCAGGGAGACTGGATATAGTGAATGCAGGGTCCAGGGAGACCAGATATAGTGAATGCAGGGTCCAGGGAGACCAGATATAGTGAATGCAGGGTCCAGGGAGACTGGATATAGTGAATGCAGGGTCTGGGGAGACTGGATATAGTGAATGCAGGGTCCTGGGTTTAGTAACACTTTAACCAAAACCAAGGAAACCAGTTAAGAGAGAAATAAGATATCTGCAGAAACACTTGTGAAAATGATAGGTCACTAGCGGTAGTGCTGACCACTAACGTCTATGATTAAAGTCTCAGTACCCAAAGGGGAAGTATGCACATCAGGAAAGATCAAATCTTTATCAATATGTTTGTTAACTCAATGTACTGAAGCAGCATGGTCAGTCTGACAGCCAGACAGCTAGCAATTTTTAGGAGTGTTCAGCAATCACTTCAGGGACCTAAAATACAACCAAGCGAAGTATGTGAGAATTTCAAATGGTGTTATGCAGGTCCAATACACTGACCGCAGATCACAGACTCACAACTTTAGGAGACTCTTGAATCTCTATCTACTATTGACATATCCAGAAGTATATGACCATCCAACCTGGGGCAATTATGCTTGATTTCTTGGATCCTTATCCCCTACTAAGAGACTGGGAGGTCTGATTTAGGAGATCCTGTTGTTGGTCGTCCACATCTATGACAACAAGGTGTGGCCACCTTAACCGAGGTCTATTTTTCCCGAGTCATCTTCTAGGACAGCTCACTTGAGAGATAGGGCTCCTCCCAGGAAACACCCGCTCCACCTTTTTTTCCCCTTTATAGGCATCCTCTCTCCCATTGGCCCCCAGTTTTAGTGTTTCCTCCGGCCAGGAAGGAGCTACGCCCGTTTTTTATTTTTTGTCTGGGCTCTCTGGCGGAGTACAGAGGGTCCCTGGCTGAGGCCCCCCCTTCCTCCAAGCGAGGCAGGGGCCTTGTGAGGGGGGAGACCTTTCAGCCAGTTTCATTCTGGGAATGCCCGTTGTAGGGTGGGGGCGTCGGCCACAGATGGTCCCAGCGGGGCTCTCCAGGGGGGTAGAGCCCGCTCCGCCGACCGAGGCATTGGTGCCTTTCCCTGCGGGGTTTCAGGTAAGTCTTACCTGCTCCTAGGATCCCGGCAGCATGGCCAGGAGGCTCGGCTGCGGAGGTCTGGACGCTGCGATCGCGTCACTTCCGGGCGCCGGGTGTCGTCACTTCCGGCGCAGGAGCAGGGAACGGCCGCCGCCATCTTGGAAATGGGCGGCGGACCGTGGAAGGAACCCGTGACACGGCCGCTTCTCCACCGGCGGCCGTGAGAGGGGGGTCGGCGAGGGGGGATCGCAGGGGGGGGGGGGGGCGGAGCCCACCAGCCCCTGAAAAAACCGCCGCACCGAGGCAGAGTCTGCGGCAGCATGGAGGCAGATCTGTCAGGAGCGGGGGGAGGCCTGCAGTAAGGTAAGGGCCTTTGTTTGCCAACTCTCTTTTGTTTTTACCCCCCCCCCCCCCTCCCCTCCCGGGATGATTGGGTACCCCCCCACGCACACACAGCCCCCCTCTCCCCCCCCCAGGCCCACGGCTGGAGCTTTCACAGTGGCACAGGGGGGGAGGCGTTGCTGTTACAGACGCATGAACGCGTGTATCTCCTTGTCCCCAGATGGGCCCACAGGAGGAGGATAGAGGGGAGAAGGAAGCTCCTTGTGAGCAGAAAAAGAAGTGTGCCACTTGTAGGAAGAAACTGGCGAGCTCCTGGAGGAAGCAGCTCTGCCAGGGGTGCATAGACAAGCTCATCAAGAAGGAGTCTGGATCTCTTTTTAAAGACTTCCTACAGAATATGACACAGGAGATGTCCAAGACATTTCAAAGCTTCAGGGAACAGAAGCCGGGGCCAGCCCAGGATGAGCCCCAACCGGGCACTTCTGGCACCCAAGGGGGGAAAAAGAGGAAGCTGGACAAGGTAGCGCCGGTAAGGGACTGGGAAGAGGCCGAACAGTCGGACACCTCAGACTCGGAGGAGGGTGAGATTGAGGCTCAGGGCCCAAAGGCAGACAGGTTCCTTTTTCAGGTGGAAGACACGGAGGACCTGTTAAAGGTGATCTATGAGACCCTGGATCTGGAGGAGGAACAGCAGGACCTCTCTCTCCACGACCAACTGTACGCAGGGCTACAGGCAAAAAGCAGCCGTACATTCCCAGTACACCCTGCCCTATGGTCCACGATCAGGAGGGAATGGGAAGAGCCAGAGAAGAAGGCTTTCCTTCCCAAGAACCTCAAGAGACGTTTCCCCTTTAAGGAGGAAGATGCCTCGGTTTGGGAGACTTGCCCAAAGCCAGACGCCCCTCTCTCGAGGATCTCAAAGGACACGGACCTGTCCTTTGAAGACGGTGGGTCCCTAAAGGACCCGATGGATCGGAAAGCGGATGCCTTCCTGAAGAGGGCATGGGAAGCGTCCGCGGTGAAATTTTAAACCTGCAGTGGCAACGACCTGCGTGTCCAGGACCCTGGATGTGTGGTTGGGGCAGCTCCGTTCGCATCTGGAACAAGGCACCCCGGGGGAAGAGATTCTGAAGTCCCTTCCGGTGCTGGAGAAAGCGGTAGCCTTCATCGCGGACGCATCAGCAGAGACCATCAGACTCTCTGCTAGATCTACAGCGCTCATAAACACGGCGAGGAGGGCTATCTGGCTGAAATCTTGGCAGGGGGATCTGGCCTCCAAGTCTAAACTCTGTGGCCTGCTGTTTGAAGGAAAACTCCTTTTCGGCCCGGAGCTGAATTCAGTCCTGGAAAGGTCGGCCGACAGGAAAAAGAGCTTCCCGGTCCCCAGCAGGCAGGTTGGACGGAAGGGGTTTCGCCCATCCAGGCGATACACGTCAAGGGAAGCTAGGTTCCAAACCCAGCGCCCAGGCTGGGGCGCGAGAAGAGGCAGGAACGAGCCGAGAGGCAGGGGAGGTTTTCTTTTCAACCCCAGCCAGAATAGACCCAAAACCCAGCCGAAGTGACTGGAGAGGCCAGGTGGGAGCGAGGCTGGGGCGCTTCCACGCACAATGGCTAAGGATAACCCAGAACACCTACATTCTGGAGGCCATCCACAGGGGGTACAGAATAGAGTTCACAAGGGCCCCCCCTCAGAGATTCTTTGCAACACCCCTGCCAAAGGACAGGGCCATGGCGGATGCGGTGGTGGACCTCCTACAAGATATGCTCAGTCAGAACGTTATCTGCCAGTTGAGAGAAGAGGAAAGGGGAAGTGGATACTTCTCCCATTTCTTTCTAAGGAAAAAACTGTCAGGTACTTACAGGATGATACTGAATCTGCGGAAGGTGAACGAGTTCGTGAGGCCCAGCAAATTCCGTATGGAATCCATATACACGGTGAAGGAACTCCTTTCACCTGGGGTGTTCATGGCCTCGATAGATCTGCAAGACGCATACCTGCATGTCCCGATAAGAGAAGATTCCAGGAAATTCCTGAGGTTTGCGCTGGAAGGCGAAAAGGGTCCGGTGCTATTTCAGTTCAACACACTCCCCTTCGGCCTGTCATCGGCCCCGAGGATATTCACCAAGATTCTAGCGGAGCCTTTAAGAGTTTTGAGACTGGAAGGGATAAACATCATCCCCTATTTGGACGACCTGCTTTTATTTGCGGACACAGAAAGAGGCCTGAGATCGCACATCGAACGTACGATATCTTTTCTGGAAAGTTTGGGGTGGCTTATCAACAAGGAGAAGTCACAGCTAACCCCCTCCAAGAGGATTACGTACTTGGGGTACGTCCTGGACTCCGCACAGGCCCGATCGTACCTGACATCAGAAAAAGCCCTCAACCTGCGGCAGGACACAAGGGCCCTCCGGAGGATGTCGACCTGCACGGTCAGGACCGCGATGAGAATAATCGGGCGGATGACAGCGGCAATTCCAGGGGTGCAATGGGCGCAACTTCACTCCAGGGTTCTGCAAAATCACACCCTTTCCCACTGGGACGGCAGCCGAGCAGGTCTGAGTTCCAGGATTCGCATCACGCACGAAGTGAAGGAATCGCTAAAGTGGTGGGGAAGCATCCTCACCTTGGAACGAGGAAGAAGTTGGAGGCTGACCAGCCCAGTGCGGATCACCACGGATGCAAGCATGTCTGGTTGGGGCGCCCACATGGAAGACAGCCTGGCCCAGGGCACGTGGGGTGCAGTAGACTCCAGCAGGTCGTCAAATTACAGGGAGCTGTTGGCAGTTTTCAAGGCACTTACGACCTTTCAGGAAAAGATAAGGGGGAGAGGTGTCCAGATTCTCTCCGACAATACCACTGCAGTGGCGTATTTGAACAGGCAGGGAGGCACAAGGTCCCCAAGGCTGATGGAGTTGGCCGGATCCCTCCTGAGCTGGGCGGAGGAAAACCTGGAGTTCATCACGGCAGTACATCTGAAAGGGGACCTGAACCAGTTGGCGGATCAGCTGAGCCGACGAGAGGTCATCCAGACAGAGTGGTGCCTCAGCCAGTCAGCGTTCGATCAGATTTGCGCCAGGTGGGGCTCCCCCTCTATCGATCTATTTGCCAACGGCCAGAACACAAAGCGGGAAAGGTACTTCTGCCTGCAGAAGGACCCCAAAAGCGAGGGGATAGATGCGCTAGCCCAGCAGTGGGAAGGAGACCTCCTTTATGCCTTCCCTCCATTCAGACTACTGCCGAAGGTGATACAGAAGATCCAGTTGTCTCAAGCCAAAGTTATTCTGATCGCACCATTCTGGCCCAAGAGATCTTGGTTCTCCCGGTTGAAGGAGCTCAGTTTAGCAGACCCTTGGATGATGCCACCCACACGCGATTTACTCTCCCAGGGGAGGGTGATGCATCCTCATCCAGAAAGGCTGTCCTTAGCGGCGTGGCTTCTGAGCGGGACAGGCTAGCAGAAAAGGGGCTGTCGGCAAGAGTGGTCGCCACCCTCTTGGATGGCCGGAAGAGGTCGACGAACGCCTTGTACGACAAGGTCTGGAAGAAGTTTTCCGCCTGGAAGGTCAGAAACGAACCACCAGGCACGCCCATTTTGCATACAGTTCTTGAATTCCTTCAAGCCGGGGCGGATAAGAATCTGGCCGCCAATACCCTCAAAGTACAGGTAGCGGCTCTGTCGAACTTTCTCGAGCTGAGGTTGGCGGCAGACCCATTAGTAATCAGATTCCTGAAGGCTATCTCCAGGCGCAGTGCCCCGTCCTTGCCAAAACTTCCAACATGGGACCTGGGCACAGTCCTGAAGAGCTTTCAGCGGGGGCCTTTCGAACCGCTGGATGAGTGTTCGCTCAGATCTTTGACTCTTAAAACCATCCTCCTCACGGCACTAGTTTCTGCCCGCAGGGTCAGCGAGTTGCATGCCCTTTCAGTGATCGAGCCGTACTGCACCATCATATTGGATAGAATCATCCTCCGCACGGACGCGGCCTTCCTACCTAAGGTCGCGTCACACTTCCATAGATCTCAGGAAATAGTAATACCTTCCCTGGAGGCCGATCCGGGCAGCGCGGAGGACTATAGCAGGTTAGACGTTAGACGGTGTTTGATCACGTACATCGAACGCACGAAGACATGGAGACACTCGTCCCGGCTTTTCGTCCTATTCCAGGGGCCAAGGAAGGGGGACGGTGCCTCCAAGGGCACCATCGCCAGATGGATCAGGGAGGCAGTTTCGGAAGGTTACAAGTCGGCAGGCCTGTCACCACCGCCCGGCCTAAAAGCCCACTCCACGAGGGCCACTGCGGCCTCCAGGGCGGAAAAAGGGGGGGCCTCCCCCGGACAGATCTGCAGAGCCGCAACGTGGTCCAGTTTCGCCACCTTCACTAAGCATTACAGGCTGGATCTGATCGGCAGCAAGGACCAGGCATTTGGCAGGAAGGTCCTACAAGCAGGGTGCCCGCCCTAATGTACGTATTTCTATTCTACTCCTCTCAAGTGAGCTGTCCTAGAAGATGACTCGGGAAAACGCAGTTATTTACCTGTTAACTGTATTTCCAGGAATCTTCTAGGACAGCGTAACTCCCCCCCGATTACTGTTTGATCACACAATTATGTGCAGGTATGTTGCGAACCTATGGGGGATGTCTTTATTACCGGTTTTCTTCTTTGTTTTCTCCTAGGCCTTCGGTCATATTCTTATACTGGGGGCCAATGGGAGAGAGGACGCCTATAAAGGGGAAAAAAAGGTGGAGCGGGTGTTTCCTGGGAGGAGCCCTATCTCTCAAGTGAGCTGTCCTAGAAGATTCCTGGAAATACAGTTAACAGGTAAATAACTGCGTTTTTTTCTGGTGAGTGAGCCATTCAGTTACAGTCTCCACGTGGTGAAAGAGTACATTTTTGGTCTACGAGACTACATCTTCATGGGACTGTCACTATAATCGTCAATATATATATATATAGTTTTTTTTTGTACAGGAACATCATCTGAAAGATGCTGTACAGCGTTCACTACATCATTCATATGTTTTTTAAATTTATTATATGCAATTGATATAGCTCCTACCTATTCATGTATTTTATTGATGGACTAACAAATTTCATATGAATTATATAGGAGATAACACCCCCGCTAGATGGGACTTTAAAGGCATCACCAAAATGAGTAAAAGTTACATCAATCTTTATTGAACATAGATAAATAATAGCCATAAAACATTGAATAGGTGGTAATTTAGTAAATAAGTACAATGGTACCATACAAAATTATGTCAACATAGCATTCAACGCTTTTCAGAGGAAGTCTACTCCTTCAGGGTCGAGACACTGTGCATGAGACATATGGTTTCTAAAGACTGAAACATGTAATACGTAGGTATTACAGTCATAAATTATATTAACAGTTGTAAACAATATTGTTGTATAGATGTCAGAAACACAATACTCACAGCTTACTATGATGGAGACAAAGTAAAAAAATATCAATGACTGAATTTCATTCATTGATTTTTTTTTACTTGGTCTCCATCATAGTAAGCTGTGAGTAATGTGTTTCTAACATTTATACAATATTGTTTACAACTGTTAATATAATTACTTTATGACTGTAATACATATGTTTCAGCCTTTAGAAACTAAATGTCTCATGCACAGAGTCTAGACCCTGAAGAAGGAGTAGACTTAGTCTGAAACGCATTGGATGCTATTTAGGAATGGTGATGCCTTTAAAGTCCCATCTAGGGGGGCTGTTTTCTCCTATATAATTCTGCACTTTGGGGATGCTGGCATGTATTAGATATGCATCAGGATCACTTTTGTTATAAACATAAATTTCATAATGTATGTGTGTCATTTGTTTACTGCAAGCACATGAATTTTATTTGATATCAGTCTTTTTTTAAATCTGCTGTACAGCAGAGCTCAGACTGTAAAGGGAGAAGTTGTGATGAAATGTTCATGTGTCAACAAGTAACGTGTTGCTAGAAGAGAGCAGAGTGACAGAAAGATGAGCTCATCAGTTTGCTGCTGTTCTTTTCACTGTCCAGTCACAGATTGGAGGAGGGGACAAGAACAGTAAGGCCCATTTCACTGCAAGGTGATCCGCTTACTGCACAGATATATCATGCGGTAACATGCATTGTGTGCATTCATTTGAATGGGCTGGCTTATGCACCACAACAGACCAAAAATTTAAATTTGGCTACCACAGTGCAAAATCCACTAGTGCGTTACGGTGCACTGCGCTGGCGTGCCATTCATAACAAATGCCACCACAGTACGTTACCATACCACACGCATGTAACGTTCAATAGTGTGCATTACCGTACTGCACTGGGGTGATTGTGTCCTAAGTGTTCGTGAACTGCAGTAAACAGATATCGAGTTTCCCGCCCTCTCAGACAGGGCTATACTGTGTGGCAGAGCAGTGTAAATCCCATGGCTGGGTAGAAAGAAATTCAAATCTTTTGGCAGGTAAAATATTTCCTTTATAAGCATTTCATCTGTCTATACAGTTGTGCCTGGAGATCAGCTTTCTATTCAGTAGAGTGGGTGATCAAGGGAATTATCTCACTGCCATTGATGGGTTTCTGAGGATAAATTGGCAGTTGCTTTGCTGGAATTGTTGCTCTCACATTAGCAGTATTAGAATTGGTTGAACTTTGATCTTCTTTTGTTCCTCATTTCACATCTTACTGCCAACAGTGTGTTTAAGTCCTTCATGAGTAAACTAACTGGTACTGAACCATGTACCTTCTGACATATCAAGCCCCTCCCATTGCGAGCATTATCCGGTAACTCACCTCTACGGTTAGGTTGCATGGACTCTCCCCTTCGGCTCCCTCCATCTCTCAGGCTGGGAGGAACATATTTTCCTGTTTTGCTAACTGGAGCCTGAGCAGGTTCCGGTTCTGTGAGGAAAATATAATCCATGATTAGCAGTTATTGGTGGTCATAACATGTCCTTCAGGCTTCTAATAACTGACAGTACTGACCAGCCCCTGGAGCTTTCTCCTTGTCTCCTGTGGATAGACCCAGCTGTTCGGCCAGCTCTTTCTGCATGGGGCCCAGAGTGTCTTTGTATGGACACCTTGTGGTCCAATGATCTCCTTTACAAATTCTACAAGACACAATCTTCTGACCCTTCAGCTTGTTCATGGGGTCTTCCTCCTCTTGGTTATTTAGATCCTAGAAAATTAGCAGAACATCAGGTAGAGTCAATCACATAATCCAACCTCCTAACCTGCTGTATCATTAAAGGAAACCTATGTCCTTCATGTGTGTCAGTAACACAACCCAACCTCCTAACCTTCCAAGTCATTTAAGGAAACCAGATATCTCATCAAAGGAAGCCTGTGCCCTGCATGTGAGTCATTCACAAAACCCAACCTACTAACCTTCTACATCATTAAAAGCAATCTAAACTCAGAAAAGTTGGTCACCATTTCTAAACCCTCTTTTTGAAAATTCTAGTTGCTTAAAGTGACAGTAAAGGTGATATTTTTTAAACAAACATGGTATACTTACCTGCTCTATGCATTGGTTTTGGATACAGCAGCCCTTACCCTCCTCTTCTCGTGTCCCCAGCTGCTGCTCCAGACCCCTCCCTCCTGCCAAGTGCCCCCACACCAAGCAGCTTGCTATGAGGGAACCCAAGCAGGCTTGCTCCCAAGCCGTTTTCCCTGTGTGTCCATTCACACACAGAGCGCAGCTCAGCCCTACCCCCACTCTCTCCTTATTGGCCGTCTGTGATTGACAACAGTGCAAGCCAAAGGCTACCGCTGCTGTCTCAGCCAATGAGGAAGGAGAGACCGGGGAGAGTTGAGGATCTCGTGCACATGGCTGGATCAGGATGGGGCTAAGGGGCTGGGGGCACTGTTGCACACAGGTTTTTTAATTTCATGCACAGAATGCATGAAGATAAAAAACCCTGAACCTTTACAACCATTTTAATTGTCTCCAAATCAAATCAACTTTCCAAGTCAGTGCCTTTTTTTTTTTTCTATGGGTTGTTAGCAATGGCAGCTCTTGTTTTTCATAACAACAACAAAGTCCTTTTTTGTGTTACTGTAATTTTGCGACCTAACAATATGAAAAAGTAGCCTAACAACAAATCTGCAATCTTTAGGATAAATCTATTAAACCCCAAAGCAAAAAGGTAATATAACGCAGCTTTCCAATTCTTAGATATGGTTGCCGCAATGGTTTTCACTTTTTCCCTATATTTTCAACTAGTGATACTGCCAGTAGCACACTTCTTGTCCCTCACTGTACTGTATATCAGGAGCAGCGATGTTGTCACCTTGGGCTGCTCTTCTGTTTTAAACTACAAACTCCCCTATCTCCCTCACATATGGATGATTTTTTGTTTTTTTTTTATACAGAAGACAGCTGGGAGGGCCAATACATTTTTTTGAGATTTCACTTCAGTGAAAGCTATGAGGACAATGGATTTCTGGTAGGATCAACCGGTATTTTCTGCACTTGCTGAATAGGTGCTTAAAAGTAGTAGCTTTATTTGTTTTTTTTTTTTAGCTATATTAGTTTTTTGTTTCCTTTTTTTTTTTTATTAGTCCAAGGATTGGAAACCTGTAAAAGATTACATTTTTGTTCATTAGCTTAGACATCCTTCAATTCCATCTCAGTTAATCCAGGATAGAAATGTTATGAAGTCGAGTTACTGTTCGAAATGCACAGGTCTACAAATGCCTTAACTCTGCAGCCTTTCCTCTGTGTGCACTGCCTGTCACACCCTCAGGGTGCAAATGTTACACTGGAGTTCATTCTCACATCTCAGGTATCAGCTGGGGCTTTACCAAGATCATTTAACCTTTTACGCCAGCACTGGAATTGTTGCAGCTGTTTTTCCTTTAAGATGTAAAGAGAACCTGTCAGTACAGACATTTGGGGCAGACACTTGAAAATGCCCATGCATGTTGCGGGTCCATGACCCCAAGTGTTGCAGCATGGGCAGCTCACCTCCTTGTTTGTGATAAAGGTCATCAGTACATCGTCGCTGACTGTAGTAGTGGCCACATTTGGTCCGGGTGGGTCATATTCAGAATTTCCAAACTTTTTCCAGTTCTGAACAAGAAGGCAGAGAGACATTGAATCACTTATTTCACAGGAAATCCAGTTGTAAAACCATGCAGAATACTTAAAAAAAAAAAGTAAACCAATAACTTGGGTGTGGAAATTTTTGAAAAAACGACGTGTCCAGGGACTAAATCAGGGCCCCAATCGACTTGTCCCTCATGACAATCTACTTGTCCAGATATTTTTTTTTACCAAAACCATATTTTAGGAATATCTGGGGTTTTTAAAAACAAAAGAGGCTTTATGGTGACTTAAACTGTAATATTTTTAACATTGCACTGTATATCTCCTCCTCCCCTCCCTGCCTGTCTCCAGCACCGCACCCGGGGACTAGCAGGGAGGGGGGAGACCTTGCAATGTGATGAACACTGATTGGCTGCTCGTCAGGAAAGGGTGGGTCAGGGCTTATACTTTATCCTTTTCGCTGCCAGAGCCGTTTTTGCACACATTTAAAAAAATTATTTTAGGCCTGAAGATTACACAAAACTCCCAAACATGATATATTTCTGAAAGCAGAGACCTTAGAGAATAAAATAGTGGTAATTCCATTTTTTTATGTTGCATGATTTTACCGCAAAATTGTAGTAAAAAATACAAGTAAGTTGATTTTAGGACACAAAAGCAATAAATTACCCTATTTTTTGTAAAATAAAAACTTGTCAAACCTTAAATTTGTGCGCATTTCTAAAATGGCGACAAACTTCAGTGCTTTTAAAGCTCTTTATAGGTCATCAGTTTAGTGTTATGGAGGAGGTCTGATGCTAGAATTATTGCTCTCATGCTGGCATGCGCGGTGATATGTGACATGTGTATCGCAATCGACTGTTTCAATCGTATGCGCCCCAGCGTGTGCTCTTACGTTTGTACGTGCGTATATGTGGGGGTGGCGGCCTGGTATGTGCTTGGATGTAACATTTTGTACAATAAAAAAACACTTTTTTTTTTTCATCACATAGGGGACAAAGTCCCCTATGTGATGATTTTTGGTAACAGGTTCTCTTTGAGACATCCAAGGTCTAAAAGACCCTGGATGGCTCCCTCTGCTCCACTGAATGTAATATGGTGCACATTGCAAGTGACATTATAGTGCAGTTAACTGACTGTAAATTAGTTACAGGGATGTTGAATTCCTATCTCCAGGCCCGGGCGCGGAGAGGCTGGCACTGTGTGGAAGCATTCTGCGGCAGCGCTGACAGGTGAGCCCTATTGCTTGCCCGCAGCAGGGCTAAAGGTAGAAAAAAAAAAACTACCTGCCCGGTGCCTGGAACTACATGTCCCGGGCGTTGGGCGACAGAAATTCAACATCCCTGTAACTAATTTACAGTCAGTTAACTGCACTATAATGTTACTTTTATTTCAACATATACTTGTAAATGAAAGTAGTTATGCAGGGTAAAGTGAAAGTGTCTCTACAATGGAGCCCCCAAGACCCACTAATAGACAGCTTTTCAGAACATCTGCTGCTCCATCCATCCATCTTACTAAAATCTCTGGTGTTGGTGATCAAGGGGAGAGATGACATCTCTACCTTGGTCACGAGGCAATGCTCTGGTCTTGCAATTGGCTGCTATACCTGAGCACTATCAAGAGGTCACAATAGCCCGTACCTGGAAGTGTGTTGTCACTAGCTGCAATGGTGATAGGGGTGAACAGGAGTGCTTTCAAGGTGAGGAGGAGTGCATTCAAGAGCACCCTTTTGTCATATTGCCCTGCATGGACAAGGTGACAGCGTCTCTTAAAGGTATGGCATTACAAATGGCTGAAAGACAAAGGTTGTAGGCTGGGAACATGAAATGTACTATATTATGGAGGAATGTATATTTTATATTGGATGGTTAGGAGCATTTTTTAATGGAAACCTATCATGAGAGCAATACAGAGGTTGTCATTCTGAATATCTCCTGAAAATGCTAGGTGCCTTACTGTCATATTGACCCTCATGCTTCAGTGCTTTGGGTCATTGACCTAGAAAAAGTAAGTAGATAAGGACATCTGACTTTGCAGATATAAGTAAGTGGTGCAAGCTAGCGACCCAAAAAAGTCAAAGCATCAATTCAAAAGCCAAGAAAACAAAAGAATAGAGGGAGGTCAACAATGGCAGACCCCATGCTTCTCTCAAATTAGATTTGTACAGCAAACCTTGGCAACAACAGTGAATGGGTCAAAATACAGCTGCTGTGTAAATACTTGGAAGATCATGACAGTTTGATGTCATTTTTATAATTCAGCAGCGTCTGGAGTGTGGATTGCGAATATTCCAGACTGGTATGGGGGTTGGGCTACCAGGAGGCACTGTCACTTTGATCTAAATGGTCAGGTGACAGTCTTTCTATAAAGTGACCATGTGCTTTGTCAATACCCGACTAAGCAGTTGCACATACTCACCTTTAAGTTTCTCCTCCACTGCTCTATTCAGCCATCAGCAATAAAGAAATACAACCAACCAAAGCTTACACAGGTCTTTCCCCACCCCTAAGTGATAGCGCTGGGGAAATCACAAGTGGTGAATCACATGATTTTTCATACACAGGTGAGCAGTGTGTATTGAATGCATCTTTGAGCAATATCTGGCAATTGATTACATTACGTTTATTTCAGCTGGCCCAAGAGATTAACTGGAGTATGGGTGTATATGCATTGTGAATACCACTGGTACTGTCTGTACTTCTGCATCCACATCTGTTTGTACAAGCCTAAGGCAAATTTCTTGTGTGGAATATGTTTCAACTTCCACAAATTGATGGAAAAACATTCAGACCAGAACCAAACGTATGAGCTCCAACATTACCAAAAATAAAATCTTGCTTCTACAATATATTCCAGATCTCACTGGAGTACATCACTAGAATAATCATCTCACCTTTCTTCTAGCCACTACTTTGGAGGCTTTGAGGGTTTCAATCTTGAATGTTCGCACAATCTGCAAGAAACAAAGATAACCATTCAGCAGGATCTAATGAGAGTGTCATCACATTTAGCAGGCACAACAAAGTTAGATTCCACCTGCAGTGTCACACAATGCTCACATCTGACACCATGGTTCAATCATAAAGATACACATATTCAGAGAGCCCTATTTAACCTACCTTAGTGGACCGAGCAATGCAGGGTATGTGGGTCTGACTGCTTGGGAGCAGAATGGAAAAGGACTTGGGTTGATTTGGAAAAAACTAATTAATCAAAGGGATGCTGCTGGGAGAGGAGGCAGGTTTGTCTAACACCTGAGGGCAGCTCCATATCCTGTTAAAGCAAAATACCTAACTTAGGCCTGGTTCACATTAGCCCGCAGGCTTTGGGCTGGTTGCAGATACAGTAATCGCACCTGTTCCCGCACCCGAAAACAACCGTATCCAGGTTTTCTTGCGCGATCGCGGGTGTATGGAAAAAAAGACCCATGTGGTTTCTCTGCAGATGCGCTGAGAAACGTGAGCACAACAGCCCATTCATTTAGTGTGGACTGGACCTTAAAGTTTACTAGTGGCCAAGCTACGAACCTTCAGTTATTTACATATTCTTGACAAGCAGTAAATAACCCTACAACAAGCCCTCAACAACCAACATAGCTGCAGACATTGAGGAGAAATTCATGCTCAGAATTTACAGCAGAAGCTCTGCATTTATTCTCAGCTTCCCCTCTGCTTCTCCCCCCTTGGCCCTAAATTTTGGCCAAAGTGTATTTTGTTACATTATAATATCAATGTGCATATCATCCACATGGCGCATAAAATCATCAATGGATAAAAAGCAATTGCAAAGATGGCCGCTGGACCATCATGTGGACGCGGATGGTCCGGCGATCATCTCTGAAAGTGTTATTTATCCATTGATGATTTTATGCTCCACGTGGTTGCTATCTTTTTAATAAAACATACTACACTATATGATACTGTCTCTGGGCTCAGTCTATGAGCTTCTCCTCCAGGAGGAATCCCTTTCCTTGGTTCACCGTGGGCTGGAGATGGAGACTTGGCTACTCTACTCTTGATTGTTCATTTGGTGTATCACAGGGTTCTGGAGAGATCCCACCTTCAACTGGGTCACCGGAAGGAACAAGCAGGAACACCCCTTAGTGTCATTCCGCTCTGGGCTTGCTTGCTACTTACTTCTGGGTGAGTGCATTATGGTGGAGGTGCAGTGTGGAAGTCACAGAAGTCACTACATTTTGTTGATTTGATCACATCACTTTTTTGGGACTATTATATTTAGCGGATTTATATATTTTTATATCATCCATTTTGTTTCTTCATTGGAGTATTCACTGTTCTCTATTTCTTTTTTTTTTATGATATTTCCTTTCTCTTTTACTATCACACTGGTCATCATTGATTATAACACACATTTTTATTAGCACTGCACATTGATATTATAGTGTCTTGTTTTGTTGGAGACAGAGGGTTTACACGTTGTGCTAGCTGCTTTACTTTTTCCTTTTTTGTCTTGTGCTCACCATTTATTCTTTATATTCTGTTACATACCTTTGATTAAAAAAAAAAAAATCCCAGTAAGTGTATATTGATTGGTTTGCGTGAAAGTTAAATAGTCTACAAACTATGGTATATATATTGGAATTTTTTTTGTATGCTACTAATGGCGGTGATCAGCAACTTATAATGGGACTGCAATAGTGCAGCAAGAAAATATGACACTAACAGCCACTGACATCACCAGTGACACTAATACAGTGATAATACTATACACTGTCACTGTACTAATGACATTGGCTGGGAAGGGGCTAACATCCAGGATGATCAAGGGGTTCAATGTGTGCCTAACTATGTGTAAAGTTGTACAGTGTAGTGCTTTTTACTAATAGATTGTCAACACAGAGCTCTGGGCTGTGATTGCACACAGCCGATCAGCAGGTCCCATCTGTGAATCATTCCCTGGGACTTGCTGACAGACTCCTGCTATGTACAATCACAGCGGGACTAGGTGGGCAGGGGCACACATGCGTGCCCGAAACAGGCATCGTACGAGCATGTCGCTTTGCGTGCATGGGCTACCCGTCTGCAATACATTGCAGGCGGGTGGTCTGCAAGTGGTTAATACAAATCTTTTTCATTTGATGTTTTTTTGGGGGGTTTTTTGGTGTGCTATAAATGAACAAAAAAATGTATTTCATATACCACACAATCCCTATGAAATTTATAAGGACTTTTTTTTAACCTGTCTAATGCGTTCCTTTTTAGTTTGGCCTCGGGAAAATGATTGAAAGTCAGCAAATTATACTGCTGCAATGTTCCACTACACAAACATACAACTGGGCTGAAATGTGTGCAGACACATTTACTTATATACAGAGTTTTCAACTTCTTATGCCATGTGTACAGAGCCTTTAAGAGGGAGTTAATGATGGAGGGGTGTAGGGAACAGAACCTGATGCTGAAGGGATGTGGCACAGGAAGTGGTGGTGGAGTGGATGGAGGCCAAAGATGGAATGAGAAGCTAGAGGAATGGAAGCCATTGATGGAAGCCAATGATGGGAGTCGAGCTGTGGAAACTAATGGTGAGGGGATGGGGGAAGGGGCGTATTTGCAGCGAGGCAAACAAGGCATTTGCCTTGGGTGGCATTTTTCAGGGGGGCAGCGATGCTAGTTGTCCTGCACTGGTTCCAGTGTAGTGATCGCGTCGAGGAGGTTTCCGAGGGACACCGGGACTGTGCGGAAGAGTGGCCTTGAGGAAGGGTGTGGCAGTGAGTCTCTCTCCTCTTCAGGGAGGGCGAGCAGGCAAGCGGGTGGTGGGGGGGTCACAGACTTTGTGTGTTGCCTTGGGAAGCTACTGGGTGGTGGATGGAAGCATTTGTTGGCAATACAGGAACCAAAGGAAGAGTGAGGAAGCAGAGAACACGTGATTCTCAATGGGGGAGGACCGATATGTGATGGAAGTAGAACAGACATTTTAGAGGGAACCTGGAGAGGAATAAGGGATGGGATGTGTAGGACAAAAGTCTCTATATTAACCACTAGTGCAGTGCCAACACAGATGGCACACACCTTTGTCCTCTGGAGAGTAGAATCAACAGAGTTTATGAATGCACACTTACCACACACTGTCCATTCATGGAATTTCCAAAGTCACACAGTAGAGGGGATAAATACAGGAAAACAGCTAGTAAAGGAACCAGCCATTGAGTCCTACCCCCTCGTTGAACAGTATAAAATCCATTATCTATCCTCCCTATGGTTCTCAACCCAAAACAACAGTCCCTGTCCCACAGCTGCCACAGAGCACTCACCTTAATTTTTTTTTTTGTCATCTTCATCCAGCTTGTATTCTGTGATGGTCTTTATATTTCCATTGATAACTTCTCGTGGGGTGTCCAGGACAACTAGAGAAGAAAAAAAGAGGGGATAAACAATGTGCCCAACACAGAGCTGCCTGCATCTGAATGATAGTTTGTACATATAAATCCTGCTCACAATCACAGCCAGGATCCTTCACAATAGCTGGACTTAAGGGTTCCACATCTTCTCCTTCTTCTTCCACCTGATCAGCCCAGCTGGGCTTGGAACTGTGAAATGTAGAAGATAAGAATTATTCAGTAAGAACAAAAAAGTGAAGTAAACATTATTGTACTGATGACACCCAACTGAGGACCATTCCCTTGTTTTATCTCGCATCAGTGCCTCATAGTCCCACTCATCAATTTAGAACATAGGTGCTGCCACCACAACCCTTATCTAAGCCTCCAGCTGCTGCATGACAACTTAAAAGTCAAGTAATTACACATTTTCCTATCCTAAAACCAACACGATTACTTACCTCTGTATTACAATGGGGGCCTGCTCTGGTGTTTACTGCCTACTGAACAAATCCTCTTTAGTGCTGCAATGTTAAGACTCAGGATCCTCCATATTTAGGCTCATTCAAACCAATGAAGAGAAACACCAGAGCAGGTTGCAACTGTGACACAGCAGCAGGGATCTGGGGAGAAGTTAAAGTGTTACTAAACCCAGGACCCTGCACTCACTATCTGTGGTCTCCCCGGCCCCTGCATTCGCTACATTCGGCCTCCCCGGAGCCGGCATTAGCTACATCCGGCCTCCCCGGAGCCTGCATTCGCTACATACGGCCTCCCCGGAGCCTGCATTCGCTACATCCGGCCTCCCCGGAGCCTGCATTCGCTACATCCGGCCTCCCCGGAGCCTGCATTCGCTACATCCGGCCTCCCCGGAGCCTGCATTCGCTACATCCGGCCTCCCCGGAGCCTGCATTCGCTACATCCGGCCTCCCCGGAGCCTGCATTCGCTACTTCCGGTCTCCCCAGGACCCTGCATTCGCTACATCCGCTCTCCCCAGGACCCTGCATTTGCTACATCCGCTCTCCCCAGGACCCTGCATTCGCTACATCCGCTCTCCCCAGGACCCTACATTCACTACATCCGGTCTCCCCAGACCCTGCATTCACTATATCCGGTCTCCCCGGACCCTGCATTCACTATATCCGGTCTCCCCGGACCCTGCATTCACTACTTCCGGTCTCCCCAGACCCTGCATTCACTATATCTGGTCTCCCCAGACCCTGCATTCACTATATCTGGTCTCCCCAGACACTGACACTGCATTCACTATATCTAATCTCCCACAGTACACACAACATGGAAATACAGTTGTTTTAGTAAGTGTAAACTGCTAAATACTTTTTCTCATCAGCAGTATATAGCAGTCTTGTGACTTCTATCATTCTCCAGCTGAGCACATGTTAAAGCTTGTAGGAGGCGTTTTCATTTTGCTCTAGGAGGATGAACCCATGCCCTCTGTCTGGACAGCACTATTTGCCCTGTGCTGATCACATGCACTCTCCCAAGAAACAAAAAAAAAAAACTCTCTAGCAATACACCCCTAACTGAGCATGTGCAGTGTGTCTCCACAGGATATGTCTTATGGGGAGATAAGAGGGGAACACTGGGAGAGTGGGTGGATCAGACAAGACAGGATCAAACAGCATTTTTAGATAATGCAGAGGATTAGGTTCCACAGTGAGTATAACAAGCATTCTTTACTGCATATACAGACCGATCTTACTGTTGTGGGTTCAGCAACACTTTAAAGCAGTTCACCTTAGAAGAGTTGGGGTGGGTTAGCATTAGTGTACAAAACATACAGCTGTCCTTTAAAGCTGAACCCAAGGCAGAGCTATTATGCGTCATCTTATTTTTTCCCTGCTTTGTACCATTTGTCTTGTACATAGAAATCCATTAATAAGGCTCTGTCCCCTTCATTTCCATATTCTCAGCCTGGTGGTCACTATACTTGCCACTACACCAGGCCTGCAGCAGTAACTTCCCCTCTGTAGTTTAGTTCTCAATGAGGAGTGATGCAATTACAGCCACTTGTAGGGGTCAGACCAAGGTGTCTCAGCCTACCTGCCTGCCCTACCCACTTACACTTCATCGTTTGAGTGACAGGCCAGGAGACCAGTGGTGGGTAATGCCTACGCATGGCAATGTGGCAAACGTATTTCTCTTTCCCTTGCGGATGTGACATGTGCAACACACAAAGTCTTCCTCACGATGCCAGGAAGCAGTCCATCTTTCCAAGGAAGATTATGTATTTAATGGGGCTGGAAATATTTGTTTTGCACTAAAAGCAAGCTATTTTTTTAAATCTGTCAGTGATTTTTTGAAGCCTGGGAAGAGGGACCTGGAAGGATCAGCTACTAGACTGCAGGGAGAAACATTTGCGATGTTAATGGAGATCGTGCACCGCAAGTGACATCACAGCACGTCGGAAGTGATCTTGGTGGACCACAAGGAAGCCGGCGGTGGCCGTCGTCTCTCTGCCAAGCTCTGCTGGGAAGTCCTGGTTACCATGAGGGTGCATTTCACAGTTTGTGTTTTGTCAAAGTCTTGACGCCGTGTCGTCACTTCCGGTGCGTGATCTCCGGTGACACCGCGAATGTTCCTCCCTGTGGTCTGGGAGACACTCCACCAACTACCTTAGTATGGCACCAACAACCATACATGGCAGGCTTTGGACTTACACGGTCCTCCCCACCTCCAGTCCATACCTAGGACCTCTCATAGCTGGAATGCCCATCAGTAAACCGTCCCAATAATCACCCACAAGCATGGTTTGGTACTCCCCCCCAATACTTACCTGAGCCCGATCTCGGTCCAGTGATGTGCACAAGAGCAGCAGCTCTCCTGGCTCTCTCCCTCCTCCTTGGATCAGGCACAGTAGCAGGAGTGAGCATGCTTGAGTGCCCCCATAGCAAGCATCTTGCTGTGGGGGCACTCAGCAGGGGAAAGGAGCCCGGAGCACCGGCGGGGGACCGCACAAGAGCTGGACTGGAGCTGCACTGTGCAAAACCATTGCACAGAGATGGGAAGTATAACATGTTTGTTATTAAAAAAAAAAAAATTGTACACTTACAATCACTTTCATGCTGGCTTTCACCCTAAACAACCTTCTAGGCTTCAGAAGGTTTTCAACAAACTTTAAAATGGTTTGAAAGCCTCAAGGCATTTCACCCTAATGAATTCAGGTAAAAGATTTCCTGTGTAACAGAATGCCCCCCCATACTTACCGGAGTCCCATGGCGATCCAGCGAGAGCTGTGGCTCTCCTAGCTTTGTCCCTGCTCACTGGGCAGATTGATAGCAGTGATAGCCATTGGCTCCCGTACCGGTCAATCAACTCCAGTGACAAAGGAGCGAGGGGTGGGGCCAAGTCTTGCTGTCTGTGTCAATAGTGCAGCAGAGGGACTCGGGAGCAAGCCCACACGAGTGCCCCCCCATAGGAATCTGCTTCCTAATGCGGCACCAGCAAAAGAGGAAGACCCAGGAGCATGGTGGGGGACCCGAGAAGAGGAGAATGCAATTCTATTGCACAGAGCAGGTAAGTATAGACATGTTTATTTTAAAAAAAAAAAAAACACTTGCCCTCCAGAGGATTTATCCCCCTTCCTGACCAGGCCATTTTTTTGCAATGCGGCGCTGCGTCACTTTAACTGACAATTGCGCAGCAACACTGTACATAAATTAAATTTATGTCCTCTTTTTCCAAAAAATATAGCTTTCTTTCGGTGGTATTTGATAACCTCTGCGATTTTTATTTTTTGCTCTATAAACAAAAAAAGACCGACAATTTGAAAAAAACAAAACAATATTTTTTACTATAAAACATATCCAATAAAAAATTTTAAAAATCTAATAATTTCTTCAAAAATTTAGGCCAAAATGTATTCTGCTACATGTCTTTGCTAAAACATCCCAATACGTGTAAATGAATTGCTTTATGTGAATGCTATAGCATCTACAAATGGTGGTAGATATACTGGAATTTTTATTTTTTTTATACTAGTAATGGCGGTGATCAGCAACTCAAAGGGTTAAGTGTGCTGTGTGTGTTTACTAGGAAGACATGCTGCTTTGCTGTGCAGAGAAATACAAAGGGGAGAGAAAGCTGACAGGGGAGAGACCTGGGTGTAAACAACACAGGTCTCTCTGCTGTCAGCATGGGCATGCTGGTCCATGCTGACAGCAGAGAGACCTGTGTTGTTTACACCCAGGTCTCTCCCCTGTCAGCTTTCCCCGAGGATCGCCGGCCAGGACCCGGTGATTGACATGTCTAGCAGCCAATAGCAGAGAGGGCAGCGTGCGCGACCTGTACCCGGAAATGCAAAACACACACACACACACACGATTTTGCGAAGCCTTACCGCCCTGTAGCAGTATTTCTGCGATAGGGCAGAGGGAGAGTGGCTGAAGACATTAACAAACTTGACTGCAGTACGCCAAAAGCTTTGCAAAAGCTTGCTGTACAAACAGCTCTCATACAAGCTGAAGCTCATTAAAAAAAATAAATAAAAAAAAATAAAACTATGGTTCCTGTTTCATATTCTCTGCCTTGTATACTATGCTCCCTGGTGTCTCTTCTGCCAGCAGCCACAATTCCCACTATCACAATCAGCATAATCTACTGCCACCACAGCCTCTTATCTCACCCACCCACACATGACTAATCAAACTGTCTCGCTCTCTCCCGCCTGCAGCAGTCAATGCCCAAACTACTACAACTATCAGCAGCATTATAGTGTATGTAAACCCTAAGAACATATTTGCTCCCTTTTGGTCTGATAGTTATATACAAAACACTTTCGGTGGAAAATCTGTTCAATCAGCACAAAAAAGACCTACTGATTTGATCAAAAACCTTGTGAGCTGACAACTTCCTGTGACTTCTGACTGTGAACAAGGAGGGGCTATGGAAATGGGGAGGAGTCTGTGTAATTACTCAACCCTCCTCAAACATCCTGACCAAACCCAACTCTACTGTCCCCCTCATCATCCCTAGTACTGTACTACTGTACCCACCAATAATCACTCAACCTCAACCATTACCACCTATAACTACTGTACTTATCACAGCCACTACTGTACCCATCACCACAACCACCCATCAACCCCACCTGTCCCAACCATTAAAACACCCATCATCCCAATCATCCCCTTCACTACCACTCCATCAGCCCCATCATTGCTATACCCATCACCACAACCCCCATCAACCCC